TCCCTGCCCCAAATTCACGTTTACTACCCATTTGTTCACAATACCCCATCTCTCCTCCGCACTTCCCCCTTCGCCCCTCCCCTTCTCCGCCCGCGCGCTCTCACCTGCCAGCAGAGATTGCCTTGGTCATACGCGTGGAAGGGCTTCACGTAGTCTGCACCGCGCCCAAGGGGAGAGAAACGGGGGGCAAGTGGGGGGAGGGGAGGAGGGGGGATGGGGACCACAGCAGACGGGACCGAGGAGCATGTGAGGTGTGAGGGGTGGATGGGAAGAGCAGCTGTTCATGAAGTTGACTATGGGCCATAAAGTCGATCTGGCACTTTCTAGTCGATCTGCAATTAGCGGACTATCGTGACAACTGGCGGAGTGGGAACGAGGAGAGCTGTTGAACCTCCAATCGATCCACACAGCGGAATCACCCTCGCGACTGGCTAGCGAGAATCGCGCGGCGTGTAAGCCGTGCGCGGCGCTCACATTCAGGGTACACGATGTCCTTATTCTCCAGCGCCTCCTTCTCCGCCACCAGCTCCGGCGACTGCTGCAGCTCCTCCACTATCTTGCGCCACGGCACGCCGCTCTTCTCCGCCGTGCTGCGCGCGCCGAGCGAAGCAGCGGGGGAGCGCATTTGTGACGTAATGGGGTGCGGGGAAGAGGGGACAAGGGGAAGTTAGGGGGGAGGAAGGGGAAAATGAGCATTTAAGGATAGTTGCGGCGGATAGACGCAAGCGAGGTAGTAAATGGGAAAAAATGTAGTGAGACGTGGTTAGCGGAACGCGGCGTGTGACGCACGCGTGCGCGACCAAGGGGCATCGAACGGCTCTCGGGGCCGTCGCCACGACGCAGCACAAGGGCAGAGCTTTCAGGGTGAGTCTGACAGCGTGGGTGGAGAGAACGAGCGCACGCTTCCACCATCGGAAGCGTATCAATCACCGTAGCAGCATGACGGCACTAACGCTAACGAGAAGAAAGAAGTGACGTAGCTCGTGATGAAGGACGTAGAAGGTTCTGACAGGTCCAGACTTGGCCGAGATACGAGTGGGGCTATTCACGAGCAAATATATGTTTCTTCCTGTGCCAAACCTGTGGCGCCGTTCTCGGTCAGCTACAGCTACAGCATCACTAGTGTTGCGGCAACACCTAGGCCCAGAACCCCTTGCGGTCGGAAATACGGAACGCTGAAAGCAAGGTCCTGGCGCAAACCATCCGTTCACATGCATATCACAGTCACCACCACTACCACCATCATCGCCATCTCCATCATCATCATCGGGCATCACCAGCAGCAGCAGCAGCAGTAGCAGCAGCAGGGCGCACCTCATGAGCATCTGGCGCGCGCCGATCTTCATGAGGTCGTAGAGCGGCTTGAACCCGATCACCGCGTTCACCATGCCCGAGAACTTCGTCTCGCCCGCCCACTCCGGCGCGTCGCGCTCCCCCTCCGCGTACTCCGTCGGCGCCATGGCGGCTCGCGCTGCACCGGCGCTTCTGTGCGCGCTCCGTTGCGATCTGCTTCTGCTGCGGAGAGCCGCGACGCCGACGGCTGTGATCGACGAGGAGCTGATGTTTGGGTGACATCTGTGGCCGGCAACAGCAGCCGCATGGATGGGCGCGGCGAGTCTGGGGCACGGAACGCACGCGGAGGCGACGGCAGCGAGCTCCATAGCGGCGAGTTAGTGAATGGAAGCGGATTAGTGGAAGCCTGGAGACTCGGCGAGTCCGGGACACGGTATTTCGTACCCGAAAGATAGATATCTCGCAACTATGGACGTCGTCAGAAGAGTTGCCTACGATGCAAATGCCGATATTTTAGACCGCTCGAGTTATGCCTGCCTTCCTCCTCTCCTGTGTGGCAGATTCACCCTTCAAAATTCCCAAGGCGTGACCCTCACCCGTTGTGCGTTGCCACGGTGTGCCTAGGTTCGGTTCGGTGTTCAGAAGCAAATCCCAAGCCCGAGGCCATCCCATTCGTCCGAGGCGCGAGAAAGTGGGACTCTAGATTCGCCCGACTGAGCTGGCGAGGTCGCTGTCGTCGCATTGGCGGAGCCACTCCCGAGGAGCTTCGCCCATGCTGTGGAGGCTTCCAGCGCGGACTGTGCGCGTTGGCTTCTTGGCTCTTACTGGACGATGCTTTCGTCCCTGGCCGAGGTCGGATGCGTGTCACGTGGCAGTATCTGAGATAGGGCTTCTTAAAGCCAGCAGCTAAAATAGTGAACCCCCCCTTCTAGTTGGGTCCACTTGAAAACACAAGATCGTTACGAACGTTTGAAAAGTTGACGGCCTGTGCGTTTTTACTTTTTTTTCATCCCAGACGAGTCTTGATCTGAACGGGAAACATGAGGAACTTGTTTACAAATCTTATTGGTGGCGACTTTCACCCACATTCGTATGCGAATTTGGCGCAAGGCTGCAATCCCACATTCAACATAGCAGCCGTCGTAACTTCACAAGAATTCCCATATGCAAAAAACAGCGCACACACAGGCAAAATCCAGCGCGCACAGGCAAAAACTCGCAAAATCATGCGCGAACACTGGCATGATCAAGCAAAATCCATGGCACACACAGGTGAAATCAGGCGAAGAAGATATAAATAAAGAAATTAATGATGTACGAAAAGAGAAAGGGCGACGGGACGGTTGATTGGTCGACGGCGAAGAGAAGGGACTGGGGACAAGGGGGCTGACGGGAGAGGAGGGGAGAGAGGGGGAACGACGGGATGGGAGGGGAGAAGGGAAAAACGACGGGATAGGAAGGAAGAGAGGAGGAACGATGGGATGGGAGGGGAGAGAGGAAGAAAGACGGGATGGGAGGGTAGAGCGGAGGAACGACGGGATGGGAGGGTAGAGAGGAACGACGGGATGCGGGGAGGGAAGACAGATTGTGAGGGGAGGGAGGAAGGGCGCGGAGAGGGCATTGCATAGCAAGAGCGAAGGGCGGATTGGCCGACGATGGAGAGCGTTTCAGAGATTAATGATCGGGGAGAAGAGACGAAAGGCGATGGGAAGGCATTTCGGGACGAGCACGAGGGCGACGAGGTCGGTGATGGGAAGGGAGAGAGGAAGGGCGCGGGGAGAGCGTTTGAGTGCGAGCGCGAAGGCGACCAGGCAGGCGATGGGAGGAGAAAGTGGGAGGGGGACGAGAAGGCGTTTCGTGGCGAGCGGGAAGGCGATGGGGTGGGTGATGGTGGGTGGGAGAGGAATTTGCGACGGCTGCATCTAAGGCTACGAGAAGGGAGGGGAGAGAGCAAGAACGACAGCAAGGGAGGGGAGAGAGATAGAGCGACGGTAAGGGAGGGGAGAGAGATAGAGCGACGGGATGGGAGGGGAGAGAGATAGAGCGACGGAAAGGGAGGGGAGAGAGATAGAGCGACGGGAAGGGAGGGGAGAGAGATAGAGCGACGGGAAGGGAGGAGAGAGAGATAGAGCGATGGGATAGGAGGGGAGAGAGATAGAGCGACGGGATGGGAGGGGAGAGAGATAGAGCGACGGAAAGGGATGGGAGAAGGCGATTGCAACGGAAAGGGAGCGGCGAGAGAGAGAGCGACGGGAAGGGAGAGGAGAAGGCGATTTGTTGAGGAAAGGGAGCGGCGAGAGAGAGAGAGAGCGACGCGCAGGGAGCAGCGAGAGAGAGAGCGCGACGAGAAGGGAGCGGCGAGAGAGAGAGCGACGGGAAGGGAGGGGAGAGAGCAAGAGCGACGGGATGGGAGGGGAGAGAGATAGAGCGACGGGATGGGATGGGAGAAGTCGATTGCAACGGAAAGGGAGCGGCGAGAGAGAGAGCGACGGGAAGGGAGAGGAGAAGGCGATTTGTTCAGGAAAGGGAGCGGCGAGAGAGAGAGCGACGCGCAGGGAGCAGCGAGAGAGAGAGCGCGACAGGAAGGGAGCGGCGAGAGAGAGAGCGACGGGAAGGGAGGGGAGAGAGCAAGAGCAACGGGATGGGAGGGGAGAGAGATAGAGCGACGGGAAAGGAGGGGAGAGAGATAGAGCGACGGGAAGGGAGGGGAGAGAGATAGAGCGACGGGAAGGGATGGGAGAAGGCGATTGCAACGGAAAGGGAGCGGCGAGAGAGAGAGCGACGAGAAGGGAGAGGAGAAGGCGATTGGTTCAGGAAAGGGAGCGGCGAGAGAGAGATTTGCGACGGGAAAATCGCGAGGGTGATTGGAGGAGAGGGGTAATGGAGATGACGGTAGGAGGGCGACGGGACGTCGACGGGACGGACGACATGATCGCGACGCGACGGTCGATGGGACGGCGTCAGGATGGTCAATGGGACGGCGTCAGGACGGTCGATCGGAACGGGAGGGCGAGCGAGATGAGATAGGAAGGCGGCGAGAGGGCATTCGAAACGGCACAAAGTACTACACAACCATGCCAGCTTCACTACGCGTCTAAATTGAAACAACAACGGCCTAAGTTGACGGTTCGATGGCTAGACATGCTACACATAACTAAGAAGCTGAGATGTATGATCGGAAGAACTAGTAGTTGTTCACCCAGCCAGACCCAACTTGAACCCCAAGCTGGGCCCAAAATCGCAAGGACGTGCATGAGCGATCGCAATGCTAGTGTTGTGCAGCTTCCAAAACTGATATGCGACGCCTGACGTGCTGTGTTCCTTCTTTTGGTTTTGGCGGGAACCAATCAGATGTGTTCGATCTGCAAAAAACGCTCTCAATGAAACACTGGAAACTTGTCGGTTTGGTTCCAAAATTGTTTCGCACGGCAAGCCCTCTTTCAAGTTGGCGTTGGGTTCACTATTTTGCATTTCGGTTTTAATACAGTTTCTGGAACAACTTCACTACCGTATATGCAGTTCTAACAGCCCACACATCAAAACAGCCACCACCACCACATCAAATATTTATGGGCAGATGCAGTCCACAAATATAACTGGTGCGCTTCTTTAAAGCGTCAGATGAAGCAAATACAATTATATTCCACACTGAACCTAATGATATTGCAGGCAGGCAGTCTTCACTAGGGTGATACCCTATACGGTAGTCAACCGTCTAGAATGTCTGTCCATCCTCCCGGCACTCTCCCTGCATCATCCCCCAGCAGTGCTGCCACTCCTGCCACCACAGAGGCGTGCACGCCTTGCACTACTGACACCGCCGATGCCCCTGCCAATGCACCCTCTGCCACACCCCCACCCACCTTGGTCCCTCCCACCACCAAAGCCCCTTCCCCCACCATCCTCCACAGAGGGCTTGGCTCCGCAGGTCCAGCTGCTCCGCTCTCCCTGCCAGCCTGTGCCACACTGCCAGCTGGCATGGATGCATCACCACTCACAGCTGCAGTAGCAACCCCCGCCTCACCTCCGCTGTTTGTTGCCGGCACGGCATCACCTGCAGCAGCAACAGGGTGTGCGGGTGCATGCATGGATGCATGCAGGCTGCTCACCAGCTGCATTGCTGCCGCAAGATGACGCTCCCCTTGCATGGTCCCACCAGGAGTGGCTGCATCGGTTGTGAGTGAATCAGCTGTGACTGCAGCAACCCTGTCCCTCGCTTGTCCATCCATTTTCCGTCTTTCTTCACCCTGTCCTCCTGCACTTGCAGCATCCAAACTGTCCCCATGCAACACAATCTCGCCTTCCTCCCCTGCTACGCTAGTCCTTTCTGCCCTATCCGCCACGGGCCCATGTGAGAAATGTTCAGCCGATGCAGCACCATCTGATGCACTGTCAGCAACACCGGTTCCACCACAGTCGCCTCTAGACGCACGCTGGCAGGCACACGAGGCATGCGCCCCTGCTTCACATGTCCCACTGTCGCACGCACTGCCACTTCCGCTGCCACTGCCACTGCCAGGGCCACTGCCACACCCACCGCCACCACAGCAGTTCCCAGCAGCAGTTCCCTTTCCGCCCCCACAGGCCCTGCCCTGTGCTGCACCTGGTGCGCCTGGCTCCCCACTCGCACAAACCCCTTGCTCCGTGCTGCCACCCTCTCCTCCCCTTGGTCCGATTGCCTCTCCTTCCTCTTCCCCAGTCCCCACAGTAACAGCAGCCAGGGCAGCTGTAACCACACGAGTGCTTGCTTCCTCTGCTCGCGCTCCCCCCTCTTCACCGCCCACCCCGCCCTCACTGCCCCGCCCTCCCCCTTCCCCACTCCCCTCCGCTCTCTGCCCCTCTACCCCCCCCACCTCCCCGCCCTGCAGCGCCATGGCGCGGGCAAGCTGCGCCATGCAGTGGCGGGGCGCGGAGGGCACGCGCACGTGGGATGCCACGTCTGGGGGCAGCGCGGAGAGCACACTGCGTGGGACGGGACGAGGGGGAGAAAAAATGACGAAGGGGGGAAGGGGTAATGGGGTGGGGATAACGGGGAGCGTGGTGGGAGAGGAGCGGAGGCAGAGGTCGGGGTGGGACATGGCATGAGGCGTGTTGCCGTAACCCTAACGCGTGCGAGTTGTAGAAAGAGCACGCATGGGGAGAGGTGCGGGGGTGTGAGGCATGGGGGGTGGGGGGTAGACGACGGGCCAGGGAGACAGCGCATCGGAGAGCGAAAAGGGAAAGTGACGCAAGGGGGATGGATGGCAGCGCAGAGGGACACCCGTTAGCAGGAAGCAGACGGTGAGAACACACACGACAGCACGGCACGGCATGACACGACACGTCATGACACACGGGATGACAAGGCATGGCACGGAGATGCTCCGCACCTGGCGAGTCCTCGGGCGTGCCCCCAGCGGAAACCGTGTGCGCAGCTCTCGCGGAACCCCGCGTTGAACCCCTCCTGCGCCGCCGCCTCCTTGCCCGCCGTTATGCCGTCGCGGTACCCCAGCTGCGCGCCGCGCCGCAGGGGCGGGGGGGTGGTGGGGGGAGGGGGCATGAGGGACGGGGAAACGAGAGGAGAAGGAAGGGTACGATGAGCGCAGGGGCGAGATGCAAATGCGCAGAAGGGCTTGCGCGCGGACCCCACACACTTCCGCAGCGAGTGGGACTTAAGCGTGCGATCGTGCGATCTTGCGAGAGTAAGAGCGTGCGCGCGCGGGTACCTTGACGAAGTTGTCGCGGCGAACCTGCGCCTCGCGGTCCCACTCCCTGAAGTCCGCGCCGCCTCCATCCACGTCATCGAACACGTCATCGTCCAGCATGGCGCGATCACAGCGGCGGATGAGCGCGATGCGGGGAGCGGAAAAAGTGCGTGAAGCGCGGAGAAAACGGGAAGAGCACACGTGCGGTGAGGGCGAGGAGGTGAGATTGGGAACAAGGAGAGATGTGCATGGGGGTGTGGAACAAGGTGGAAATTCAACTGGGAAGTGCTGAGAGAAAACGTGGAGGGGGTGTGCCCTGTTATAGCCCACAGTGGCAGCGATATAAGTTTCTAGAGTACACCGCATGCCATTTTCAGGCCTTACACAAATGGGTACTTCCACTCTCAAACTGTCAATCCTAATGAATAAACACTGGGAGCTAAAATAGACCCTCACCAATACCAACATATACATTTGATTCTTCCGCATTGCTCCCTGCCCCCCTATTGGTAAGGAGGCCGAGGACGGCGCACAAGGGGTTGCTTACTCAGCATCATGCTCTCCTCCATGCACAATCCCATATCCCCATCATCGTTCTCATCCCCTTCCCCCTCAAACTCATTCTCCTCTCTCTCCCCCCCATTCCCCACAAAATGGCCATTGCTTCCCACATGGGCCTTCAAGTCATTCATCCTCTCTCCATACCCATCCTCCACCTCCTCTGCATCTTCAACCCCCTCCCTAACACACTCCGAGGGCCGAGGAGAGGGCTCCTCCCACAGAGGGAAGCCGTGCTGGTTCCGGCTGCCCACAGACCACACCACACAGGTGCCCGTGCTGCCACCCGTGTCACACCTGCTTGCCCTCTCCTCCGGGCTCTGCTCCTCCCCGCACTCATCCACCCCAGTCCACTCCTCCCTTCCCTGCCCTCCCCGCTTCAGCCCCTCTCCCTGCTGCTGCTGCTGCTGCTGCTGCTTCTTGTGGTGCAGCAGGGACGCGTTCTCCCCATCACGAGCAGCAGGCACAGACGCACCCATGTGAGGCGAGTCAGTGGTGGGCTCCATCCCCGCTGCATGCCACCCGCCCTGCACCTCGCCGCCGCTTCTGCAGCTGCTGCCGTCCTCACACACCAGCGACCCACACACACTCTCCCCGTCCACGCACCCCTCTGCACCCACCGCCCACTCCGCTCCCTCCTCTTTCTCTTCCTGCTGCTGCCGCCGCTGCTGCAGCTGTGTGGCCACCTTTCTATCGCTCCCCGCCTCCCAGTCCCGAACCTCTCCCCCACCCGCCACATCGCCACTCGTACCTGCACCCTCCTCCTGCCCCTGCCACTGCTTGCTCCCTCTCTGCCTCCGCCACGGGCGCTGCCGCTGCCGCTGCTCGTGCTGCTGCTGCCTGGAAGCAGGGATGTCGTCACGATCATAGTCAGCAGAAGCTCGCTCTTTTTCTGCTCTCCCTCCACGTCCCACTGTCATACCCACACCTTCGCCACTCCCTTCTTGTGTCTCCTCCCCTCCCCCTCTTCCCTCCCCCCCCTCCTCTTCCTCCTCTTCCTCCTCTTCCTCCTCCTCCTCCTCCTCCTCCTCCTCCTCCTCCTCCTCCTCCTCCTCCTCCTCCTCCTCCTCCTCCTCTCCCTCCTTCCCTTCCTGAACCACGTCCCCCCACACCTCATGCCCCACCCACTGCCCACTCCCCCATTGCCCGCTCCCCCACTGCCCACTCCCCAGGCGCCCGCTCCCCCAGGTGCCGCTCCCCAGCCGGCCTGCCAGAGCGCCACTGCCCCACCGCCCACTGGCTGTGCGCAGCATCCCCACGCCCCTGGGAGTGTGCCCAACCACCCCCAACCCACCCACACCCAAACCCATACTCCCTCCCATGCCCCCCCCAACCCCACCAATGCCCCCACCTCCCCCAATGCCCCCACCACCCCCCATGTCCACCAGCATCATATCCACTGCACCTGACGCCACAGATGTGGCATCATCATCGCTCACAGCAAACCCGCCGCTCAGGATGCGCAGCAGCTCGTACTGCGCCCCGTACTCATACTCCACCCTCCTCCTCCTCCCACGCCCCGCCCCCTCCGGGCCCTCCCCCTCGCCCATCCCCCCCGTGCCCTCCACCCCGTGTGCACCTCTCCCCCGGGCATCTCCCCCTGGGGCGACCTGCCGCCCATGGTGGTCAACCACCACCACGTCCTCGCTCTCCCAGCTGCCGCCCAGGCGGTGCAGGCGCAGGCTCAGGGCGTGCGCCCACGGCTCCGGTGCGCCCTGCTGCCGCAGCCACTGCGCTGCCCGGTGCTGTGCCTCCTCCTCCTCGCTGTAGCTCCCACACTGCTCATGCTCCCCGCCGTCTCCCCCTTCCCCCTCTACCCCGCCCTCCCCATGGTCCGCCCCCTGCTCTCCCCCATGCCCCTGCGCCCTCCCTCCCCCCATGCGCATACACACAGCCTTGTTGCGCCGCAGCACCTCCTGCACCCATGCCTCGCTGTCCTCCCCATCCTCCTCCACTGCACCTTCCACCACTCGCTGCTCCCCTACCTTGCTGCTGCCACCAGAGCTGCCAATCTCGCCGCCCCGTGCAACCTCCAAGTCTCTCTCTCCGCCTCCCCCCTTCTCTCTTCTTCGCCCTCTTTCTCCTGCTGCCGCCTCCGACCACTCGTCACCGTGACACTCCCCCACATTCCCCACATACCCCGCAAGTCCCTCTGCCCCTGTGGGCGTTGCAGAGGCACTCGCAGAGTCACGCTGTTTCGCACCACCTGCTACTCCTCTCAAGGCTCCTCTTGCTCCCTCCCCGGCTGGCCCATGAGTTTGTGCTGCACGCAGCCCCATCAGCCGTGCACCTCGCGTGCCTCTCACACCACCACTGCCATCGCCACTGCCATCGCCACTGCCATTGCCATCGCCATCGCCAGGACCTCCCATCATCTCACGCGCCCTTCCCTTCTGCTTTCGCACTCCCTTCTTCCTGCCGCGCCCACCCCCACTTCCACCAGCAGCATCTGCAGCTCCCCGGCTGTTGTTGTTTTTCCGGGGTGGTTTACCCTTGGCAGCCATGTCTTCTTCCAGCCGTGCCAGCTGTGCTAGCACCTTGTCCATCCCATACACTCCCCTCGCCCCTCTGCCGCCCCACGCCCCTCGCTCCACCACACTCCCTTCCCCAGGCTCTACACCATCCTCCGCCCCTCCATCCGCCTTTCCCTCTCCAGCACCCCCTCCGCCCCTGCCCCCGCCCAGCCCCCTCGCCCCCTTGCCCACGCGGTGTCGCCCCCGACTGCCACTCCCACCAGAAGCAGGGGCGCTCGTGCTGTGCTCCCTGCGCCCCCTCGCAATCATAATCCCGCCCAGCACCATGGCCTTTGCCGGACCCTCTGCTGCATCACCCCCCTCACTTCCACTCCCCCCTCCCAACTCCCCACCCTCTCTTCCCTCACCCTCCCCCCCGCCGTTTACATCCCATGAGGCGCCTGTGCCTGCTGTGCTGTGCGCGCCACTCCTCTTGGAGCCATGGCCCCACCGGCCTTCACCAGTGCGTCTCAGCACGGCCCCCACACACGGGTCCGACTCCACTCGCCTGTGCCGCCCCACCCTGCCCCCGCCACCCTCACTGCCACTGCCCCCCCCAAACCCACTGTCAGTGCCAGCAGCAGCAGCAGTGGCGGCTGCAGCAGCGGCGGCAGCTGCTGCTCCCACAGTGCGTCCCCCCTCAGCCTCGCGCGGTGCAGAGTGCAGCGCGGGTGCTCTCACAGCGGCGGGTGGCAGCAGGCGCGGCACGAAGACCACCTGTGCGGGGGCGAGCGGGGCGAGCACAGAGGCCGTGGTGCCGTGCTCGCTGGCAGAGGGACCAGGGCTGTCCACAGGGGAGTGTGGGGTGTCAGGCGCAGCATGGAGAGGGGAGGAACCCGCAGACTCACTCTCTTGCTGCTGTCCCTTGCTGCGCCGGCTGCTGCTGCTGCTGCTGCTGCGACTGCTACTCCCAGCAGCAGCAGCAGCGGTGGTAGCAGGGGTACGGGTGCGCAGGGGCGATATGATGGACCCGCGCACTATAGCCTTCCCCCCCACCAGCGCCACAGCACCGCCTCCAGTTCCTCCCGATGATACTGCTGCAGCCAATGCCCCTTGTTCTCCTGCGTGTGCGCCTGATCCAGGTGCTGCAACGGCAGGGGAAGGATCACGATCGGAATGCACATCCTCTGTGAGGCACACCACCCGCACGCTACCTCCACTCGTGCTCCCTCCTCCTGCTGCTGCACGCTCACCTGCGCTCCCAGCTCCACCACCCACCAAAGCACTGCCCACTGCGTCTCTCTCCGCCCTGCCTGCCCCCTTTCCCCCCCCGTCGCCCGCTCCCCATCTGAGCCCCTGCCGGAACGACCCCAGGTGTGACAGCCGCGCAGCTGCTGCACCTGCGCCCCCTGCTGTGCCTCCCGCCCCCTCCGCGTGCTCTGCCTTCCTCTGCCCCGGCCCTCCCTCACTGGCGCTGCGGAACATCCTTGCTGCGCCAACCAGGGGCGCCACACCACCCCTGGCCGCCGAGCCTAATCCCGAACCAGGCAGCTTGGCTAATCTGGGCCGCACACCAGCTCCGGGCACGGAGCTAACACGCTGAACAGGCTCGGGAGGAGAGGCGGTGGGCACAAGGGTGATGTGTGCGGTGAGGGGTTGATCAAGACCGGCAACGGAAGGAGGGCGTGAGTGGCCGTCCAACCAGCGCTCTGCATCCGGTGCTCCCCATGCCCATGCCGCCACCACCGCACCCTCCCCTGCCACCACACCATCCCCTCCGTCTGCATTGCCAGTACCGCTCACCCCACCTCCTCTGCTGCTGCTCGTTGCGGAATTCCCAAGTTCCCCCGCTCCTGTGCCCCCATTGTGCAGCAAGGGCAGCGGAGTAGGCACGTGCTGCAGGGACTTGCTGTGACGGTGCCCCCTCACCTGCCCCCTGCCTGCCGACTCCTCGCCATGCACACCACCGCCCCGATCACGCTCCCCTGCTCCCGCGCTCCTCCGCCCGTCACCCGGCCTATCTGCGTCCGAGGCCCCTGCGTGTGGCGCTGTGCGTGTGACGGGTGGGCGGGAGGGCAGGGCGGCGGAGACGGAGCGGGACTTGGGCATGCGCAGCAGGGCTGCTGCTGGGCCCGCACCGCCACCACCACCACGCTGCAACTCGCCACTCCAATTCCTGCCATCAATGCTGTCAGCAGCAGCAGCAGCAGCAGCAATGGCACTAACGCTGCGGCGCCCCACTGCGTCTGAAAAGGCTTCGTGCGTGCCGTCAGGTGCGGCTGGGTCCTCTTTTCCCCCACCAGCCCCTGAGCTGCTCGCGGTGCTCTGCACACAGCCACTGCCACTGCCACTGCCACTGCCACTGCCACTGCCACTGCCACTGCCACTCACCATCCCCCCCTCCGCTGCCCCGGGCCTAGCCTCGGAAGTACCTTCGGAAGAGTCAGGTTCGGAAGCTGGGTTGGTAATGGCGGTGACGGACAAGGAGCGGAAGCCCCACGGCCCCGCTCTGCCCCTCAGCCCGGGTTTTTTCTCTGGAAGCGCTGCTCTCCTCGCATCTGCGCCACCATCCTCCGCGCCCCCGTTCAAACCCCCGCTACTTCTGCTGCTCTCAGCGCTCGCTGCAGCGTGTTCTATCCCCGCCTCCGAACGCTCTTCCTCCTCCGCCTCCCCGGAATCCCCCTCCCCCTGCCCCTCCGCATGCCGCCATTGCTCCTTGAGCCGCCGCCATCGCTTCGAGGCGGACGGAGCCAGCGCCGCGGCGGACGCGCCGCTTACGGCGGACGCCTTTCCGCCGAGCCACGCACGTCCGCGGCTGCCGGGGGCGCCGAAGCACGTGACGGAGATTTCGCCGTCATCCTCGGCGCGCATGGTGGCGTGGTCGGCGGGATCAGCTCCTGCTGCTGCTGCCGCCGCCGCAATCTCTTCCGCTGCGCTGACTGACGCGGATCGCCAGTGGTGACGTGGCCGCGGCGGACGGAGAGGGCTCACGGAGGGCGGCTGCAACGCGCGGTGCGACGGGTGTGGCGGCGGAGGGGCGTCGCGGTAGGGTGAGTGTGCGCGCTGGTGGGCGTGCGCGCGGCGCTCCTCCGCGGGAGGTGGATGGTTGGCCGCATTCTTGGCCTTGTCGGGTTCGCGGAGGGGCGGTTGGGGGCAGGCCGCAATTCCCGCGGAAGGCTGCGGGGCGACTTCAGAGGCCGCCGCGGTGTCTTGCATGGCGCTGCGCTGTATTGACGGCTCGTGTATTGACGGTGGTGCCGGCACTTATGACGCGTCGTTGCTACGGTTGGTCCCGAATTCTTGTATGAGAGGCTCGGCAATCTCGCCCCTGAGATTTTACCTTCCACAAGGATTTGAGAAAACAGAAGCGAGAGTTTCGAAAATAGTGAGGAAGGGAAGGCACGCTGGGTGGGGTTGCGCAACTGGGAGAATTGGTGCATTTGCCCTGTTGTGCGTGCAGTGAATAGTCAAACTGTACAGGCGGACTCGTGGGCCAGGTGCGATGGGTCTGTCTGAGGCATAGAAGGCTTGTTAGGAGCAGAGGACGAGGTTGCTCCACTGGGTTTACCCTTTTTGGGGTCAGTGGCAGGCGCAGTGGAGGTCAGTAGACAGTGGGGCAAGGAGCAGTAGACGGTGGGGTGGTGTGATTCTGAGCGAAGCTTGAGGGGCGTGCTCGCTGGGCGCTGGGGAGGACAAAGCAGTCGTGGAGGGGTGTGCTCGCTGGGCACAAATTCCGCCAAACGCCTGGTTCCCCTCTTCGGACAACAACTCTTCAACCAGCTGTGCCACACCAATGATACGACGGCCAAAACTTGGCAAGGGAACAGAGCAGGATAAGCGAGGTAAAAAATATGGCTGCGAAAGTGGGCGAAACTGGGCGGATAGTGCTCGCGAAGGCATTGGCATGGCGAAGCGATGATGAGGTGGGGGCGGGTGGTCCGTGGCTCCAACTTGTGACCACAGGCTTGTGATCAACAACCGATGCGTCTTAAAAGGAGGATGCGCTTCGACAAACTTCTTTTTCGACCAGATTGTCCAATGAGATGCTTTTGCTGCCTACATTCCACTTTACAGAAATGTCTTATATTCTTGGCAAATCCCTGACGAAGTTGATGGAATCACACAAGAAAACGTTTTTGAAATGTATGTACGGGAGATCAGTAGAGGTTGTGATTGTAGACATTTTACATGTGTACAATAGAAGGTGCATTTCTGATGGGGAAAATATGCCATTCGTAACCATCATGGTACTCGAGAACACTTTTGGTAAAAAAAAAAAAAGAGTACGGTCACTGCAAAGGGTGTTTTCACGCGACTGGTAAAACGTTTCACGGAGTCAGTCACTATCAACTGGTAAAGAAAAACGCGAATGGTCACAGATGAAACTCCCGCCCAAAAAATATAATACCCAAAACGAACCTGGATGTTTTTTCGGATGAATCAACCCTAAACACAATTCGCCAGGTGTTTAGGGTTGATCCGTTCCCAAACCACATCCGATTCCGATTGGGTTTTACTTTTTTTTCTGAAGTTAGATGATTGGTTGAACGCGAGCGGGAATTTTGTGGAGTTTCAAGAAGTTTTGGCGGGAATTACATGTGTGACCATTCGCGTGATTTTTTACCTGTTGTTAGTGACTGAATCCGTGACCCCACTTACCAAACCCGTCAGCAAACCCGATACAGTGATCGTACGCGGTACTTTTTTACCATTCACGTTATCGAGTCCCATGATGGTTACTTGTCACATATTTTCCCTTTCTGATGCTCGGAAAGAGGGATTGGGCAGAAATACTAGGCAAGAATCAGAAACAGGAAAGAGAGGTTTTCACTAGCAGCAGTTGAGATACATATAGGAAACCCTAATTGGGTTGTACTCGCTATAGAGTACTCCACTGCAGGCTAGACAAACATCGACATTCTGACACAGATTGGCCAAGACTGACTGCTGCAGCGAAACGGCCCAATGGTGTGAGGCGCCGCGCCAACAAAATACCTCTGAACGTGAACCAGAGGCAGAATTTCACAGGTTGGCCTCGCCACGGGGTGCTTACACCTCGGGATTCTGTGATTCCCTATAATTGCGGTAAAATCCACATGGCACCAGGGCAAATTTTATCAGTGTAAATCACCCTGATACCCTGATTATCAGGGTGGTTTTTGGTAGTCACACTGATGGCCTAGGGTAATTTCTTCGGGAGCTAGAATTTTCCTGATATGCCAGGGTTTACATTTAAGGCACACTGATAACTCAGGGTTACCGATTTCATAACGAGTTTTACCCTGAAGCGCGTAACATCACCCCCTTCCCCCTAACCCCCTCCCCCCCAATTCGCCTTCGCACTTTTGTCCCAGTAGAATGGTTTTTAGAATTCAATAGGTATCGGAATATTCGCGTTGGAGTGGCCCGGTCGGTAGCTTGGACTTCGGAACGATTATGGCTCGAGATCGATTCTCGTTTCGCGTTTTTGTTTGGAACTTCCGTAGAAACACTTCATCAGGGTATTCAAAATTGTTACACTGTGGCATAAGGGTAAATTTTTTGAGACTATGGAAAACCCTGATGGAAAAGAATTTTCCCTAGGGGTCACACTGATAATCAGGGTTTTGCAAAGGTGCAGGACTGATGATCAGGGTTGCTTAAAACAAAAAATTAGCCCTGCATGGCACATGTAAGAATCGCTTCAGTGTTGGTTTCGTTACAGCGTTGTGGCTCTCAGAATAGGAATGCAACGGAATGGATGAAACTAGGAAGTGTGGAAGTACAAATATGCAACCCTAACAACTGTACTCCCTATTGTGCTACTCACTGTAGCCTACAAGCATAGAATTACATTTGACACACCCCCATAGGCTAAGTGAGGGGCATCAAAGCAAGCAAGGTGAACAAACGGTCACAAGACCAGTCAAAGCAAGAAACAAGGCAAGCTCAGGGTGGATCTCAAGGACACCAGACAAATTCCGAGCGCAAGCAAGTGGCCACAAGGCCAGTTCAAGAGTTCACTAGGATATAAATAGGAAGCACAACAAGTAGAGCAAACAACAAGACTACAGCAACCGAGGGCCTACCTCAACAAGCCCCAACTGCACACAGAACCTGTGGTGATCACCAAGCGCCAAGGCCTTGGTGAAGACGTCTGCAGTGTTGGCCTCTGAGGCCACAAAGTCCAGGCGTGCCTGGCCGCGTCGCTGCAGCTCTCGCAGAAGGAAGTACCTCACGTCAATATGCTTCACTCTGCTCTCCAGTCGAGGCTCTCGACACAGGAGGATCATGGCCTTGTTGTCCGCGTACAAGGTCGGTGCAGAGCGAGGCCGCTCACCAAGGTCGGCGAGCAAGAAGGTCAACCAGCGAAGCTCCTGTGCCGCCATGGCACCAGCGTAGATCTCTGCCTCTGCACTGGAAGTAGCCACAGACGACGACCGTGTAGACCTCCACGACACAGCACCAACTCCCAGACTGAAGCAGTAACCCTGAGTCGAGCGCTGAGTCTCCACGTCGTCAGCGTAGGAAGAGTCGCAGTGACCAGTCAACGCCACTGGCTGAGTCCCTCCAAGCACAAGCCCCATGCCTGATGTAGTTGCCAAGTACTTCGCCACCCTCACAGCAGCTGTCCAGTGGACAGGGCGGTGTCTCCCAGTCGCAACAAAGCGAGAAAGGATGCTGAGGGGAAAGGCGAGGTCCGGTCGAGTACAAGTCATCAGGTACATGAGGCAGCCCACCAGCTCTGCGTAGGGTCCACTGGACTCGAAGGGCTCGTCAGGAAAGGGGCCCGTGAGTCTGTGGTCAACAGCAAGAGGAGTGGGCTGTGTGGTGGAGAACTGGAAGTCGAACCGCCGAAGGACCTGCTGCACCATGTGTGACTGCGTCAGTGTGATGGTGCGAGCGGCTCTGTCCCGGGTGATCTGCAGGCCAAGGTAGCGCTGCAGCTCACCCAGGTCAGTGCACTTGTGTCTCTTCTGCAGTTCGGACTTCACCTGAGCCAGGGCTGCCCTGTCAGCTGTAGCAAACACCAAGTCGTCGACGTAGACAAGGATAAAGAAAGGAGTAGAACCCGCTCGAACAAACAGCGACGGGTCGGCGGAGGACGGGCTGAACCCAAGGTCACGAAGCGTGGAGCGAAGAGTGTCGTGCCACTCACGGGGCGACTGGCGGAGACCGTAGACTGGTCGCCTCAGGCTCCACTGGGTCCCAGGTGGGAAGGTGTCAGTGAAGCCAGGAGGACGGCGCAGCCAGATCTCCTCGTGCAGTCGGCCCTGGAGGAACGCAGTGGAGAAGTCGAGGGAGTGCAGCTCGTAGTCTCGTTGTGCTGCTATGTGGAGTAACACCCGAAGAGTAGTCATCTTCGGGGTCGGGGCGAAGGTCTGGAAGAAGTCAACTCCCTCACGCTGACTGAAGCCCCTAGCCACGTAGCGCGCCTTGAACACCGGCGGTGCTCCAGGCGGCCGCTTCACCTTGAAGAGCCACATGCCATCGACTACGTTCGCCCTGGGAGGGGGAACTGCGTCGACGTAGGTGCCTGTGGATCTCCAAGACGCCAACTCTGAGTCCATAGCCGCTTTCCACTGAGAGGCCCACGCCCCTGACACTGCCTCGCGGTAAGTGCGAGGAGTCGGTATGTCAAGGGCGTCGGGGTCTCCCTCAGGGGAGAGCAGCATGGCACACACAGAGGGAGAAGCGGCTGCCCAGTACTCCAGCTCAGACTCTCTGTCCTCTAGGACGTCACAGCCAAGGGCAAACCCACCCCCGACGGACAGAGGACGGTAGGGAGGAGCTGGCACCACCTGGGTGGCGTAGTCAAGGCGGCTGGCGGCAGCAAACTCAGCGACAGCGGCAGTAAGAGCCGAGGCAGACGACGGAGGGAAACGAGAGTCAGTGACAAGAGTGGCGAGGACACGTGCGGCAACAGGACGAACAGTGCGGTAGTAGTCAGTTATAGGAGTGGGGAGGGCTGGGAGAGAGGACGGAGGAGGAGACGGGAGAACGGACACAGGAGAACAAGAACGACGACTGGACGAACAAAAGAGGGCAGTGTGGAGGTCAGTAACAGGGGACGAGTGACGAGCACGCGGAGGACAACGAGTGATCAAGTCGTGACGGACAGAGTGAGGAGGAGACCGAGGAGGAGGAGAAGACCAGACCGCCGGACGGTCGTCAGGAGGAGGCAACGGAGGAACAAACACAGGAGGAGACTGGGAGCGGACAGGAGGAGAGGAGGA